ATTGGATTATTAAGTAATATTAATTAAGAAACTAAAGTAGAGACTCCTCACAATTCAGAATGGGAATGATTTAGATATTGGTAAGGTAGTAGTAAAAATTTCATTCATGCCATCACAATTCAAAGAAGAGATAGAAATTAGATTGAAAGATGACCAGGGGAAATGGTTGAAAAGCCAAAAGGATATTATCATTGATGCAATTTTGAACCACTTTCTAGAAGTCTATAATTATGGGGGAATGCAAAAATTGGACTTTTGCCTACAAGATATACTAAAGAAAATGTTAGCAGTCCTTAACCAAAAATTCTGTGAGCCTATCTGGGAGGTGAGAATTAAAAAAGCAATAAATAATAGTTTCTGCCCATCTTTCCCTTTCTATTTGGGGTCATAGCAGAGTGATTAGTCTTAACAATAAATAATAGTTTGACCATTTAAAAATTATTTCGGCCCTTCAAGCATTATATATGGATGGTGGGAGTATACCCTTGGTTGAAATTTTCCATTTTGAATGTCTATCTGATCACAATTATATATTAATTTATCTATTCTGTTATTTATAGTCATCTATACTAGGGAAGACTAAGAAATATTACAATTGCACCTACTCTCCTTTCTTTTTCCAATCATATATTCAGAATGAGAATTGTGCACTCAAGGGCCCATCTATTGATAACTAATAAGGGGATAATTCAAATATAAATCAGATATAATTAAGGAAGAATATTCATCAAGGATATCAATCCTAATATAATAGCATAATATATGGGCTTGAACCGTCATAAGAAGCACTGAAGGTTCAAAATCTAATGTCCACAGATAAACCCTATAAATAAGAGGTAAAGCCTACAGGTACGGTACGCTCTTTTGCTTACTGTTATGCTATTACTGTGTACACACCCTTTTGGCAAAGTCGTTTATTGTTCTTCTGTGCACAGTGATCTGCTTGGCTCAAGTACATCTAATTCATAAATACTTTGAAGAGGACACCTAGATCAAAAAACAACATACTAACTTTATTGGGTTAGACATCTTTGTCTTTAAGACCGAACACGAATATTATCACCTATTTAATGATCGAATTTAATAGGTGTTATGTAGTTTTTACGGTAAAATTGGCGCAAAATTCTTGCATAATTTAATAGCAACCCGCGTTATTTTGGCAGAAAAAGAGAGTTTGGTATCTATTTGTGGGGTGTTATAGTTTATTACTTTCCTTAGAAACTCTTTTGTGACTGTTTTGTTGCTCAATTCGCATTTGTTTATGACATTTGATCCTCTAAAACTGTAAAACATATGGTGTATTTTATTAGTGCAAGCAGTAATTATTGATAAAAAAAAGTTTGAATAATTCTAACAGATTATATTTCATTAACATTTAGTCAACAGCCTTGACTTTCATTCACTTTAGAACAGCTTGCTACACTTTCGTATCAAAAGAATAAAGGAGTCCATAAAATTTAGAACAATGATCAAAATGTCATTTTTTGACAAAATTTTTACCCAAATATCATTAGAATAGTATTTTTTACCATACTGTCACGTCACGTAATTCGCTACGACTGGTAGCAAATTACGTTCGTCAATGATTTTGTGACACGTGACACACTTTCGCATGAAAAAGCTGACGTGTTATAATTCACTACCAGTGATAGTGAATTTGGTCTGCAATATGGCCACACGTCACGAAATTATTGGCGAACGTAATTCGCTACCAGTGGTAGCGAATTATGACATGTGACAGTCTGATAAAAAGTACTGTTCGCGTGGCATTTAGATACAAAATTCAGCAAAAAGTGACACTTTGGTAACTGTTCCATAAAATCTATTGGGGAAACAATTTCTAAAGTTACTTTAGAAAAATAAATTTGTTTAATGTTCACCGAAATGATATAGTTTTAGAGTCAAAAAATTAAAGAGTTAGAATCATAAAGATTATTATAACCCTGAAATAAATTAAAAGTACAAACACAACATGATTTTCCCAAGACGACATCGTTTCGGTAAATATTAGATAAATTTTTCTAAAATAATTTTAGAAAAAACGAACCCAAGTTCATTAACAAAATTTAATATAAAATTTAGCACTTTAAAATTATTAAAAAAAAATACTGAAATTAGAATGGAGCTAGATAAGCAACCATCTCATCCAAAAGTTTAAGCTTAGAAGTGAAGGCCCATCAATTTGTTTTTCCTTAACCTGACATAATTCAACTAGAAAATGGGAGTGATAAGATCAAATTCCTGATCTCGTGGTCACATAGACTCTCACACCATATAAAGAATTAATTTAACCTAAAAGCTTAAACTAACAAGTGAAGAGACTTCAATAGTCTTATATATATGACATCTCTCTAATACACCCCTTCATTCAAGAACTGTATAGATGTGACAGTAAGGGCAATCACTGTTCAAAAACAAAAAGCGGAACGCATCATCTATCCGCTCTCAGATTGGACAGTAAGGGTCAGAGAAGGACAATCACTCATTCTTAAGACCAAAGAATCGGGCGGAAAGGGAGGGGGGGAAGATCCTCGTTCCCGGTTCTCCTGTAGCTGGATCTTTCAGAACCACAAGAATCCTGAGTTAGAATGGGATTCCAACTCAGCACCTTTTGAGATTTTGAGAAGAGTTGCTCTTTGGAGAGCACAGTATTGTATAAGTCCATTTATTTTATTTTACATTATGCTGACTTAATTTCATTAAAAAGTAAGGAACGTAAGAATCGAATTCGTGACCTGATAATTAATTTGACTCTGATGGGATGATAAGCAAACATCTCACCATAAAGCTTAAGCACGCCAAATTTCTCTAATAGAGCTAGAATTCAAACTGGAAAAAGTTCAACTTGATCTTGAGCTCAATAACACTAAGAGAGTGTTTGGTAGAAGAAAATTTTTTTTTTATCCGAGAATCTTAATTTTCAGAAATATAATTTTTACATCCAATTTACGATAATATCCGAAATTTTAAAATTTAGAAAAAATCAATTTCCTAAAAATCTTGAAAAAAGCCATGTACCAAACGGATCTTAAATTCCATTTACATATGCACTGCAAGTTGGCCCTACTTGCATATTTGTCCATGCCATCTCTATCTCTACCTTGTTTTCTTTCACTTATTTAAGATTTAGTCAGCAACTGAATGCTGCAGGGGAAAGGTAAAATTCAGTGCCATAAATCTGCGTGCGACCACCACCACAACCACCTACACGTCCTTTTTCTGAATGTGATGCATGCAACCTTTTTTTGATAATAACTAAAGAAAATTACAAAAGCAACATGCAACTAATATATACTGTGTTGTTTTTCAGTCGCATCAGATTCCTCTGCATGCCAGCTAAGTCACTCCTGTCAGATTTGGTCATTTTCACACATAAAGATACTCGAACATTTTCTGGTCTACCATGCTTTTTTAATTAGCTTTATTATATCGTTATTTAAAGTTTATAGGTCCCTCATTGATTCTCTTGATTAATCAATTTAACTGTGATTTACCTACCAACTTTCCTTTTCCAGCTTAGCAATTTAAGTTGAAATGACACAGGCATTTAAAGATTGCTAGATCTGTGAACTGAAAGGGAATTCCTCTGCCAATTAGATTAAACTATACATATTTTGTTACACACATGCAGTACATAGAATAGCACACTTCATCCTTTCCCATAAACCACGTTTATTTTCTCCTCATAGTGTTAACAATTAAAGCCTCGTTAATATAATGAAGTGTTAGATATCCAATTTGCAATGATAATCCAAATATTGATGTTAGCACTTAAAATTGACTTATATAAAAAGAGTGATATTTAGAATGTGATTTAAGTTTCTTTCCGTAATTTTTAATTATTAAGTTGATTTAATTGTAATTATTTTCTTAATTTTATAGGTTTAATGTCAATTAAACTGTAACTAGTTATATTTAAACTTTTCATTTTTTAAGTATATTTTAATTGTGTTTTAAGATTATTTAATGGGTTTAATATTTTTATTTTTACTGTAGAAATATTTTCTCTATCACACTCACATAAAAGTGCATGGTTCCATGTAATGAGAAAAAAGATAGAAAATCTAAATAAAACCAACTCACTTTTATGTTAGTGTGTGTGACTGAGAAAATATTTATGTAGTAAAAGCATAAATATGAGATATGTTATTCTACCTACTATTTTTTCTGTCTACCACTCTAAAACACCATTAAATCAGAATCTTAACTAACATTTATCTTTCTCTCTCTTCTTGAGATTCTAATCTAATAGTGTTGGAGGGTGGTAGACAAAAAAAGTGGTAGGTAGAATAACCTATCCCTTAATATTTTATGAAAAATGTTTAAAATTTTATTTATAAGTTATTAAATTTTAAATAAGGATAAGATATTATACCTATATTTTTTTTTATAATTTCTCTCTTCTTAATATTCTAATATAATAATATTAAAAAGGAGTAGATAGAGTAAGTATAAAGAAAATAGATATAATATTTTTTGAGGATAAAGCCCCTCTCATATCCCATCTTAATTCGTTTTTAACATATTTTAATGTATTTGGATCAACATCACCCCCATCCTTCATTATGCAAAATTGAGGCCAATCCCAAATAAAGTGAACGCGTTTTTAACTAAATCAGTAACTCCATATTGGATCACAGCTACAATAAGAAGGAAAAAGACACGTAATGAATAATGTTACAGCCATGCAAGGGAGAATGAAATTGCCCATCAAACATTAACTGAAAGTCCATTCCATTTCATGACCCTAAGTTAAGGCCAACCCCACAACACGAACCCTGCCAAACCTAAAAGAAATCACCCCCACATGACTCTTTGGATTATTGCCTTTAAGATCCAAGACACCCCCACCGAAAAAGATACTACAAAAGACTGAAAGAGATAGCCAATTAGCCACACTAGCCAGCTAGAAAACAACTAAGCAAAGATTATGAACCCCATTAAAACACTCTCAATAAATACCCAATCTTCCTTATTCTCTCCTCATATCTCCACAAAACATGGCACTTTGGCAACTAAAGCTACTCTTCTCACATCTATTAATCCTTTGCTTAGCAGCAACTTTGGTTTCTCCACACAGCAGGCCTTTTTCAACTCCAAGTGTCACACACTTAACGGATTCTTTTCCTCATGTCCCATTTGATCATTCCTTTTCTAACGCTTTTGGGGCCTCAAATATCAAGTTTCTCAGTAATGGGTCCATGGCCACTCTGGCTCTTGACAAAATCTCAGGTTAATATTGAACCCCTTCAATTAATGAACCTAAAATCTTGAAATTTCTTTAGTTCTTTTTTCTTCAAAATATGTCCTATTATTATTATTATTATTATTATTCCATAGGCTCTGGCTTGGTCTCCCAAAGCAGATACTACTATGGATTCTTCAGTGCTGCAATCAAATTACCAGCTGGTTTATCATCAGGAGTTGTAGTTGCCTTTTATGTAAGCTAGCTTCTTCTTTACTTAAGAATTAATCTTTGAAAAGCATGATATATATGGTAGCTAACAAAACTTTATTAGCAAGATTCTTTAACATTCTGTTATGACTATGTTTTTTGTTATTGTTACTTTTGCATAGAAATTATTTGCATTCAACTAACTTTCTTTATTGTTATGACTCCTCAAGAAATTAACTAGAGAAATTTTTTCAGTTGTCTAATGCAGATAAATTCCCACACAACCATGATGAGATAGATATTGAACTGCTTGGTCATGATAAGAGAAATGACTGGGTTATTCAAACAAACATCTATGCCAATGGAAGTGTCAGCACAGGAAGAGAAGAGAAATTCTATTTCTGGTTCGACCCAACACAGCAGCATCATTATTATAGCATATTATGGAACAGTTATCACACAGTGTAAGACAAATCCTGTTTTCAATCTAAAGAAATATAGCAAAAATGGAATGACTATGTTTGATTAATAGATAACTCAATTCTGAATATTTCATTTGGATTTTTTTTGTAGGTTCTTAGTGGACAATATTCCAGTGAGGGAATTCATACATAGCAGCACATATCCTTCTATATATCCATCAAAGCCAATGTCAGTGTATGCTACAATATGGGATGGTTCAGAATGGGCTACACATGGAGGAAAATACCCAGTTAACTATAAGTATGCACCATTTGTTGTTTCATTTGCAGAAATGGAACTTAGTGGATGCATATCTGATCCCACAGCTACAGTTTCTTCATGTTCTATGGCCAATCCTTCAGGCCTAGACCCTGTTAATGGACCAGAGTTTACTAAGCTATCACAGCAGCAGATAGAAGCCATGGATTGGGCAAGAAGAAAACTCATGTTTTACTCATACTGCAATGACAAACCCAGATTCAAAGTCATGCCACCAGAATGCCACTAAACTATACAAATTAATTCAGGAAAATTACTAGAAAAGAATTCCTGCAAAAGTATTTATTAGTTATCATGAAGGAAGATATAGTCATACTTTTTTTATAAATTTCATCACTTTTTATCCCTTCATGATAAATAAATACTTTTGAGGAATTCTTTTTTCATAATTTTTCTAATAAATTATAATTTTTTTTTCAAAAATATTATTTTTTCAGGGAATAATGATATTGTTGTAAGTTCAATTCTTTGGCTCAAGAATTGCATGAAAGAGTCAGAAAAACCATTAGAACAGTAAATGGAAAAATGCATATAATGTACTTTTATGTATCTATACTACACTTCATATACCCAGACATACAAATGCTAATTAGCACTCTAGTGTCTTCATATTTGTGAATTGTTAGCATTCAACATCAAGCATGAATTCCAAATTCTAATGCGATTCAGTGGTATTGTTTTGAAATTTGATTTTATAGAAAAAATGTGGACGGGAAATAATTATATCATGTTGTATGAGATAACAGAGACAAACTAGTGGGGTTTACTATTTTTTCTTTTCTTTTTTTAAAAATAGTGAACCCCACTATTTTATTTCTGTTCCATTATATAATTATCTTATACAACATGAGATAAATAGATCCCAAGTGTATATGACCGCTCATCCTAACCCTTTCCTTGCTCACCACCATTGTTGAGAAAAGAGTATAATTGTAAGTTGTTTACCTCTCAAATGGTTTAGTTATGGTTGGTTGTCTAATAAAATAGACAGGGCACGAGACTCATTTATTTGAAAGTGGCTATTTGGCTATGTAAGAATTAAGGATATCAACCTAAAACAGAGAAATGATACAGAACAATAAGACCAGCCTAAGGCATGGCATATAATTGAGATGGTTAATTATGTGCTCTGATTGTGGGGCATACCATGTGGTCTGAACAGGCTGAACTTACAGTATAGCTTCCTTATTAGATTCTTCAGCAGGCAGCAAATACCAGACAACTCATGTGGTTATGTTTGAACTTTGATAATATTTTAATGGATCGGTAATAAGTGCATAATCACAATTGTCAACATTATCCAAGTACGAGGATCTTAATGTGTGTTTGCGAGGTATTTATTTTAAAAAAAATTTCCTCATAAATAGAAGCTAGGCTATACAGGTTTTTGCATAAACTTTTATAGTAAATATTTTTTTTTATAACGAAGAAAAAAATTAAAAGTCAAAAACTTTTACGAGGAGTTTTTTTTAAGTTGTATCAGTTTTTTTGAAATATGTGCTGTATATATATATATAGGGCTTAACATTTCTGCAGCAGCCGTAGATAGTGTTATCTACAGCTGACACAGAAAAGTGGGCCCCACGACTTTTAAAAAAAAAAAAAAACTCAGGATCTATTGCTGTATCCTAGGATTCGGACGCGGATCCTTGCTCAAATCATTTTGCCATATATATATATATATATATATATATATATATATATATATGGGTAAGGATCATTTTACACCAGTGTAAGTTACACTCTTAATCTTGTCCGTTGATCTCATTTATATTTAAGGGTCAAATTTTTCAGTAATGTGAGCCATTGGATATAAGTGGATCAATGATCAAGATTGAGTGTAAGACTTCTAATTCTTACACCGGTGTAAGAATATCCTGCCCCTATATATATATATATATATATATATATATATATATATATATATATATATATATATATATATAAAGAGGTTATTCTATCTATTTGTTTCTGTCTACTTTTACCTGTCACTCTCCAATACCATTAGATCATAATTTTAATTAACATTTATCTTTTTCTCTCATCTTTAGATTCTGATCTAACAATATTGAAGAGTAGTAGACAAAGATAGGTTAAAAAAATAGTTAGAATAACATCCGAACCAGTTTAATTCAATTCGGGTATTATCAATTATGGGTAAAAGATTTCTCGAGTCAATGGAGATAAATTATCTCCGGTGAACACAAAACGACATCATTTTGAGACGAAAATCAAGGTATTTTTGTAATTCTAATTTATTGCAGGATTATATTAGTCTTTATCATTATAATTTTTTAATCTTACAATCCAGAACAACATCGTTTTGGGATCACAGGAGATAACTTTTATTCACAGTGACCGGAGAAATACTTTTCCCATCAAATATATATTAGAAACGGTTTTTTCAATATTAGTTTCTTCATTTTCCGGACACAAACTCAATACTTCTAATTAAAGAACAAATATTACTCGAGCTAATAGCTGTTAGTTAAGAATTCTAACATTTAAAGAGAACCATCCCGGATAACATGCGCATGAAAATATCGGGTGACAAAAAATAAGAGCATAAAATATAAAGAGCATCCTTTTTATAAAAAAAGAAGAAGAAGAAAAAAGAAACCCAACAATGTCATATGTGTAGATGACAAATAAACAGGATTTTATCATCATTATCATTGTCCAAGTCCTACTTATTGATCCATTCCATGAAGAACAAACTCAAAGCCATGCTGGGCTCTTCAAGGGAGTTACAACAGCCTTCACTTGCAAGTAGTTCTTAAGACTGTACACTCCTTTTTCTCTACCCTGCCCACTCATCTTGTACCCTCCAAAAGGAATTGCAGCATCAAATGTATCAAAGCAGTTTACCCATACAGTTCCAACTCTCAATGCTCGTGTCAATGTATTTGCAGTGTCTATGTTCTTTGTGAAGACCCCTGCTGCAAGGCCATAACGTGTCTTATTTGCTCTTTGAACTACCTCACCAAGGTCCCTGGAATCAATACAACAATTAGGGGGTGTTTGGTTCAAGTTTTTGGAGAGGATTACCGGTAATCCTTCTTTGGTAAATGTAATTACCACGTTTGATAGAAGGAATAAATTACGATTCCCGGATATCCAAGGATTACCGGTAATTTGATTTATAAAGAAAAGTCACTATTCAGATTACCAAAAATAATATGGTAATTCGGAATACCAATCAGAATACCAAGTAAAGGGAAATCACAACAATAAATTTTGAGACAAAAATACCCCAATACACATAAAAATCTAGACTCAATCTATCAATTACAAAAGTAAAAATAGTTTGGGGTTATTTTTGTAAAATAACCTCATATTCCAAGTCATATTTCGTTATAAACCAAATATGGAATCAGTAATTTTTACCCAATATTCCCGGTAATATTTTGGCGAACCAAACACATCTTTCGTAAGATTCCAAGTAAACTCAATTTCTACTGATTCCCATTAATCATGATTCCCGGTCACCAAAAAATTTCTCTTGTAACAAACACACCCTTAGTGCACAAACCAAAACACGTAGATAATAACATTCTCTGCAAAATAAGACTAATTGCTCTCACTTGAACTTTAATATGGATTGTACAGGACCAAAAATCTCTTCCTTAGCAATCAGCATGCCATCCTGGTGATTGTTACAAATGAAATTAAAAAACATTAGGACTTGTATTTTTAGCCTTCTTTGATAAGAAAGGAATGTAACTAAAAAGATATACCTGAACATTTGAGAAGACAGTAGGTTGAATAAAGAAGCCCTTGTTGCCAATCCTATCTCCTCCAGTTTCAAGGGTAGCTCCACTTTCAACACCAGATCTGATATACTTCAGTATTTTCTCAAATTGGTCTGAATCAATCTGATTGTTTGGATCATACACGAAATCATCATTATATTCAATCGTTTTAAAAGAATTATACATTAAGACAAGGGGATATCAAATTCAAAGCAATAGCAATGTAGCATTCTTTATATGCATTTTAATACTGGATAAGCATAAAGTTTATGAACCTCATAAGGAATGATAACATATTTCCAGTCATCAGCAATTAACATTGAGTTAGAACAACTTTGGAAAACAAAGCACCAAGCTCAAACATGAGAGTGCACTGCAAAGGATTCTTTGTAATTTACCTGAGGACCTTGCTCTATTCCCCCCTTGAATGGATCACCAACAACACGTTTCAAAGCACGAGCCTTCGCTTTCTCAACAAACTCGTCATATACACGTTCATGTACAAATGTTCTAGACCCAGCACAGCAACATTGTCCCTGAATGTTACAAGGAACACCAATCTAAGTTTTCTGAATTCTATAAGAGATAATTGTTTTACAAGAACTCTATGATTATATATATACCTGATTAAAGAATAAGGCAAAATGTGCTAGCTCAACAGCGTCATCTACATCAGCATCTTCACATACAATAAAGGGGGATTTCCCACCAAGCTCCAAAGTTACAGGCTTAAGATTGCTTTTAGCCGCCAGTTCAAGGACAATTTTTCCAGTATCAGTTGAACCAGTAAAAGCAAGCTGCAACATTGTCCAAAATTAAGGATACTAATCCATTATGGTGAAAAATAAACATCACATTAGAAATTGAAACTTCTCCACAAGACAAAGAAACTGAAATTTTAATTGCCATGGACATTTTATTATAGAAATTCTTATGACTGAAGGGTACATGGACTGAAGCTTTATAGTTCCTTTAAGCATTAGTTTGACTACACAAGCAACCTAATTCATGCCACTACCAAAATCATTACATTACCACACTACTGCAGGACTAAGTATTACTGGAATGGATACTCTCATATCTCTTTTTAACATGATTATATCATGCGAAAAATCTCAGTCATTTATTGATAAATCAACACCAGCAATTAAAATTACTATTTTCTCTTCTCCATTTTTTGTGATTAAACTTGTGGTTCTGCCAATGAATGAGTGAGATTTTTCACGTGATCGTGTTACAAAGAGACATGAGAGGATTTAGTACCTTATCCACATCCATGTGACTAGCAAGAGCAGCACCAGCAGTTGGACCATAGCCAGATACTATATTTAAAACACCAGGAGGAAGTCCAGCCTGCCAGACATAAAGATTAAAGATATTATATGCGTAAATTAGACTCCAATAAAACCATGCTTCTAATAAAATGAAGATTGGTCTATCATTCACCTCATGAAATAGTTTTGCTGCATATAAAGCAGATAATGGTGTCTGCTCAGCTGTTTTCAGAACAACAGTGTTGCCACATGCCAATGCTGGTCCAACCTTCCAAGCAAACATGACAAGAGGGAAGTTCCATGGAATGATCTGACCCGCAACACCAATGGGTTCATGCAATATTTGCACATGATGAGGTCCATCAGCTGGAACTGTGAGACCATGAATCTTATCTGCCCAACCTGAGAAATATGGAAAAATGCAAGTGTTAGTATAGTTTCACAAAAACAAAAGAGGAGAACATAAAGTTTCACATCCCACATACCAGCATAGTATCGAAATAGGCGAACCAGCATTGGAATTTCAATCTGTGCAGATTGTTCATATGGCTTCCCATTATCCCAAGTCTCAAGTGCTGCAAGCTCATCATTATGCTTTTCAAGCAGATCAGCAGCACGCAACAATATCCTTTGCCTTTCCTATAAAAACATAGTAAAAAAATGGATTTAAAAGCAAAATCATGTTAACAAAGATCATAGCTTAGCGAACTGTACGAAAAGTAAAATCAAAATCATTGCTACAATGAAAAGTTATCTGCATGAATCCATTATAACTACATACTGCGGAGTATAATTATAATATTAAACTTGCTTATTTTTTATTTTGTCATCAGATATTGTTGATTGATGTGGCGAATTTTTTTTGTTTCTTTTACAATTATAAGTTTATAACTATGTATTACCCGTATTTATTTTTACCTATCACCCGTAGTATATAATTATAATGGTTGCTGCTGATAAATTTTTTTCAAAAATGGAAAAAAAAGAAAAAAGAAAAAAGGCAATGATCAAATACATAGGCTGCCATCTTAGGCCATGGCCCTTGATCAAATGCTCTGCGTGCAGCTGCAACAGCTCGATCAACATCTTCAGAGTGACCCTCAGCAACATGAGCAATCACTTCCCCTGTCCTTGGGTCTAAGGTTGGAAAAGTTTGACCTGATCCACAGTAATCCCAACACTAAGATACCACAAAAACTTCAAAAATTCCCCTTTTTTTTCTTTCTTTTGTTTTTAATCAAAATGCTACTTTATGTCCAAACGGTGAAAAAGGAAGGATGGGTAATAAGACAAATCAAGATTAACCCAAAAACAAAAAAAAAGAAGAAGAAAAGAAACACTCACCAGAAGCAGCATCTACGAACTTTCCATCAATTAAGAGCTGGGTGTGCTCTACTTGTACTGGTGATTTAATGGGTTCTTCACTGGCAGCAACAGTGCTATATTTCCAGAGTCCTGCACACACAGGTAACCAACCATTCCCACCTTAAAGTTTTTTTAATTTCATCTAATCGTTGAGTTATCAACGGCCTTAAAATGCTTAAGCTCCAAATTAAAAAACCCCTACTAAGTAATACCAATTTAAATCGTGATTATCATGTCATAACACAAACATGAGTTTTACCAGGAAGTTGCTTTTACACTGCTACCCCACACTAACCTCTTTTTTCTTTTTTCCCTCAATTAAATTACAGCTTTTGGTGAAGTTTCAAACTTTTCATATCCCACACTCCCCCATTTGGTCATATATTTTGTTTTTCCAAGCTACAACTGCATTTTCTTTCTTTCCAAACAATGACAGTGATCCCATCATCAATGAAATCAATGAAAATAAACCCAGTAACTCATTTCAAGAAAAAATAAATAAAAATTCAAGAGAAGGATAAAAAAAGAAAGAAAGAGCAACAACAAGTGACTTCGTATTTGTTTCTAGTTATTGAAAAATGATAAGATCACCCACCCCACCAGGAACTATGATGTGGTAAGCAAAATCTACCTCGAGAAAACAAAGAGGTAGAAGAAACAGAAGAAAAGGAGCGAGTGATTAGTCTTGAGATCCTCATTGAAGAAGCCATACCCTTTTCTCTCTCTTTCACTAATCAAGTTTATCAAATTGCCATTGCCCATCATTGGGTTCTAGTTTTTATAAAAGCATGTACATGTGCAACCCAATGTCAAAGTGTTCAGCACCCCACGCAAAATTGCTGACTTATTTTAATGTATTTATTTGTCTAGTAACATGTATCGTTCCGATGGAAAAGTCGTAACTCCTAACTCTTTTGAGCAATTTCTTCTCAAAATTTCTCAATCACACCTACACGAGGTTCATTATAAAAAAAATAAATCATTCCTTACAAGAGTATGATATAGAAAAAAAAAAATTCTGCAAAAAATGTAAAAATATTTTGATCCCGTTATCTGCCACATTCACACAAAAATAAGTGGTCTCGTTAATATTTTCACTTTCTTTTCTGTATAACGGGACTCACTTACGTGAAGGTGACATAAAATTTTTTTTTCAGTAAAAATAGAAATATTTTTTCAATATATATTATTTTTGCAATTTCAACGTTATAACAAATTTAATTTTAAATTCAAATAGTTATTTTTAATCACTATGAACGACACAGTGATACCCATTAAATTAAATTTATTAAAACAATTCCTAGTCTCACAAAATCTTCTCAATATTAAATTCAAATTTATTTGTAAGTTAGACTCGCCCTTCCTTCTAGTCCCACTTTTAAAAATTGATTAGTCAGTTTACTCATTAAACTAAATTTATTACAACAATTCCTAGTCTCACAAAATCTTCTTAATATTAAAGTCAAATTTATTTGCAAGTTAGACTCGCCCTTCCTTCTAGTCCAACTTTTAAAAATTGATTAGTCAGTTTACCCAAAAAAACAAAATTGATTAGTCACAACAATTCCTAGTCTCACAAAATCTTCTTAATATTAAAGTCAAATTTATTTGCAAGTTAGACTCGCCCTTCCTTCTAGTCCAACTTTTAAAAATTGATTAGTCAGTTTACCCAAAAAAACAAAATTGATTAGTCATGATTATATATATATATATATATATATATATATATATATATATATATATATATATATAAAGACTTACATTTATGCAGCTGTTGTATGTACAGCAATCAAATATTTGTCATATATATACTTGAAAGCATTAAATACGGGAAATCATAATCATACAAAGGATGAAAGCTTTAAATGTGAGGAATCATAACCATACACTTGTCGTTGTTGTACGTAAAGCGACTGCAGAAATGATTATACCATATATATATATAGACTTACATTTCTGCAGTTGTTGTACGTACAACAAACAAATACTTGCCATATATATACTTGAAATCATTAAATGCGGGGAATCATATTCATACAAAGGATGAAAGCATTAAATGTTAGGAATCATAACCATACACCTGTCGTTGCTCTACGTAAAGCGGCTGCAGAAATGATTATACCATATATATATATATATATATATATATATATATATAGAGAGAGAGAGAGAGAGAGAGGTAGGATCCTTTGACACCTCATTCGAGAGCCATTAGATCAAAAAATATCAACCACTCTGATTTGTAAGCATGTGACACCATTGATATTTTTTGATTTAATGGCTCTAAGATGAAGGGTCAAATTTTAAATTTGACACTGGTGTCAAAGGATCCTACCTCATATATATATATATATATATATATATATGGCTTATCGTTTCTCAAGTTGTTTAAGATAATTTTATCTCCGGCTACTAAACCACAACCGTACAAAAATGGATCAATGGTGATAAAGGAAGAGAGAGAAGAAAGGAATTATAATCATGGTAGTTAAAATCCCGATTTAAATATTAGATTTTACGATTTTACGATTTTTTTTAATCAAAACGATTGTACTAAAATTCCAAACGCTTTTACGCTTTTATGATTTTTCTTACGTTAGGATTTTACGTTTTACGATTTTTTATTCTCCTTCCGATTTTAGGTAAAAAATCCCGATTTTAACTCGTAATCAATCAAAGGTGAATCAATTAATATAAAAAAATAAATAAATAGAACAACGTAGTTTTGGGGTGGCCGGCGATAAACTTATCTCAAGCTACTTGAGAAATGTTTTTCTCATATATATATTTATATTTAACCCAATGGGTGCAGCTCAGTTGGTAACTTGGCGCTGAGTTAGTGGGGTTGGATATGTGTTCGATTCCCGCTGAATGCATTCTTGGGGAGGGGGCTGAACCTTTAGCCATCACTGTTCCCCCGCACTCCGGATTAGTCCCATAGCCGGCTCAAAGAGTCGAAGCTCGTGGGGATACCGGAGGGAGCCAACTCGTCTCAAAGAGATAATTAGGATTGGGTAACTCCAAAAAAAAAAAAAAAAAAACGTTTTCTTATATTGTGACCATTCGATTTGCGCGCAAAACTTTTTTTAATAAATATGGGGTCCACATTAATTGAATCACACTATGAGAATTGTATTCTCATACAAAATGAGAAAACAAAAACCCATATATATAAGGAGCAAGAGAGAGATTTTACAAATTTTATACAACTTCATGATTATTATTTACTTTTCTTTTTCCTTCGCACTTTTTTATATTTCATTTCTCATACTATGTATGTATTTTTTATATTTTAAACGCTTATGTAATTATCATTATTCAATAAATTTAAATATATTATAGAGTAAATACCATTTTTCGTCCCTGACAATTTTCACGAAGCCCCTTTTGGTCCCCAACAATAAAAAGGCTCTTTTTGGTCCTTAATTTTGGAAAAGTAGTGCCACGTTTGTCCTTCTGTTAGTTGGCATCCAACGGTCCAACTAACGGAGCACACATGGAACGTTAGTTTGCTGAGTCACTATTAAGTATTCAACGTGGAAGTAATACGACGACGTTATGAACATGCTTTATGTCTTCTTGGAGTTTTGGACAGCTGACCCTAGCATCGAAGGGTAACTGATCCATTATGGTCCCTGTCAATTTGAGAACCCTAAATCAGCCTAAATCAACCATAAACAAAAAAATTCCCGAAAAATTCTGCACGTTGAGGACAGAAAATTGAGGATAGTAGAAGTTATTTACTGGATTTGCTAGGGCGTAGGAGAAGATGAGTCTTTCATCTGGCATCGGGGGCTCAAGTGGGAGTACTTCAATAGGGGGTAGAACAACCACACAAACTGCCGGTCGAAGGTGCAAATGTGGGAGGCAAAATGTCGTCTATACCTCCAAAACAGAGAGAAACCCAAATAGGGCATTCTTTGGGTGCCCTAATTTCAAGGTATACATTTGAAATTTGAAGTTAATTAAATTGAAATATTTGCTTACCGTGGTTTGTAATTTTGGCAGGAGAAGAAGCCGTTTTGTGATTTTTTTAGATGGGTAGATGTCGTATGTAATGAAAGGTTGGAGCTTGAAGATGGAAGAATACACAAGGTGGAGTTGGATGTTGCTGAAATGGATTTCAAGTTGAAGTATGTGGACAGGATGATGAGTGAAAAATTGCAAGTTAAGCTGAAAGACCAAGGTGTGAAGATTATTGAGCAAGAACTGAAGATTAATGACCAGGAAAAAAAGCTGAATGAGCTCTACCTGAAGATGGTTTCAGAGTTAGATATGATGGACAATGAAATTAGGCATGTTGGTAGGTCAGCTAGGGTCATAGTTGGTGCTTGTGTAGGTGTGATGATGATTTGTAATTTTGTTGCAAGTGTGGTAACAATCAAATATAGTGTACCAAATATATTTTTTCTTGAATGAAATGTAATGAGTTCTTTGTACTTTAATGAGCAAATGAATGAAGATGCTTTTATTATATGGCTGATTTTGTATTGGTTTGAAAATGTGTTTTTGTGTAGACTCATTTCTTTGGTCGAGCTTACACTATATGTCAATGGCATGAACAAGGTCATGGATTATTCCTTGCCATCTGTTTGCATCATATGTTTTATTCCTGTTATGAATCCACTGCCATGATGGATTATAACCATTTTGTTATTTATCTGCATAATTAGGCTGGAATGAATGTATCTGTTGGAAGCATTGTGTCACAAACCACATACCACACCTTTTTATATTAAGTCAATCAATCTGCATATCAGAAGTTGGAAGTTGGAATGCAGTCATATTTGTTTCAAAATGGGATTGTGTGGACTCATTTTGGTCCCTAACAAATTTCACGAAACCCATTATGGTCCATGACAAATTTATCGAGGCTTTATTTGGTCCTTAACACTAAAAAAATGGACATGAAAACATAAGTGCCAAGGCATATTGCAGCAGACCACCAACCACAAACCTTTCAAACCACTATTGCGGCAATCCAATGGCCCTATTGCAACAATCCAATGGTCCTATTGCAGCAATCCAATGGCCCTATTTTGATTTGTAAATCATGACATCATTGTATCACAAACCACCAACCACAAATGTATCCAGAGACATATTGCAGCAAGAAAAACAAGTGACCAAGATTGATAAATCAGTTGATAAACCACCAACCACAAGTCTTTCAAATATTAGTTGTTAGTATCAGAGACATATTGCAGCAAAGAAAGGGAAAAAATTGCAACTGATTAAACAATGGGAAAGAAAGCAATTGACCAAGGTTGATAAATCAGGATTAAAGTAGCCATTTACAATTCTAAACCCATCCATCAAACAGTATCTAAATCATGATTACAAGCACATAACAAAAAGGGGGCCTGTCAATTGTAATATAAAGCTGCATGTAATTCACCTAATGGCCTTAAATACAAAAAAATGTGGGGGTACAATTCGTAATGGCCAACAATACAAAAAAATGGCCAAAGATACCAGTGTTGCCTATACAAAAAACACCAAACCTACAACTGATCATGTCCTTCACGCTGGCCTTGGTGGCCTAAACCCAGGTGTGGTCATGAAGGCCATTAGCCTGCTCCTTGTGCCACTGCTTGTTGCATTGAGAGTTTCACTGGACAAAACTTCTGGGTGGTGGTGGGGCAGAAGGTGGTGAGTTGTTGCCTCTAATTGATTCTTCAGCTGCTTGGGAACTTGGTAGCGGTGGTCCTCCTTGACTCAGAGGGAGCTCCTCTCCAGGTCTTGATGGGATGTTGACAGTAACTGGAGTTGAAGGAGCTGCTGGTCTCTTCCCTTTCTTGCTTGCTGCTGGTCCCTTACAAGTCTTTGCATAGTGACCAGCCTATCCACATTTAGGACATTTAGCAGCATATGTTCTTTTCACTCTTTTGGTATTGCTTCCATGTTCCTCACTTGGATCCTTTTTCCTATGTTTCTTGGGACGACCAATTGGCCTTTTCAATGGTGGAGGAATAGGTTTAGGCTCAGTTGAGGTAGGCCAATACTTATCAGAATTGACAGGGTTCAAGGTGTGTGCATAAGTGGCATGCAAAGCATCCACTGTCAGCCATTGATGCACATACAGCTCTGCTGGTTCATTCTTGTGACATATTGCAGCAATTGCATGCTCACATGGCAATCCAGCCAGCTACCACGGATTACATGCACATGTCTTATATGTTAAATTGACTCCAACCCTTTCACCCTTTCCACTAACTTCATATATGTCTTGATTCAAATTCCCTGTCCATGTAGGGGTCCAGGAATTGCTTAGGACCTTCAATTGATCAAGCTTCTTCTGTTGTGCAGGGGCAATTTTACCCCTAACCGTTCCAAGAATTCTTTGATGTGCTGCCATCCTCCTCATGATGTAACACCTAAGTTCTTCATATAGACTGATTATGGGCTTGGACCTATATCCTACAATTTTCGCATTCCAAACATCTGCCATGTTGTTTGTAATGTTGTCACACTTAGGCCAGTGACTAAAATAAGCTTTGACCCAGCATGAGGGGTCAATCTTGTGTAGATATGCCCAAGCATCTTCATTCAAATCTTTCAATTTTTGCATAGTCCTTTTGAATTGGGGTACAATAGTGCATCTTGCACATTCCCAAACTATTCCCCTAATGGCCTTGTCCTTCCACTACTTAATGAAATTCTTCCAGACATGGTGCACACAAAACTTGTGATGTGCACCAGGCATCACCTCCTGCAAAGCTGGTATCAAACCCTGCATCCATATATGAAGCAACAAAGTCACCTTTAAATAAAATCATAAAACATAGCTACCAATGTTCAGGATATATAGTATCCATATAAAACCAAAAGACAGTTTTAAATAAACATACCTTTTGTTGATCAGAAATGAAGTTCCAACCATGGACTACATGGCTGCCAATGTCCTTTTATAACAAGTTCAGAAACTACTTCCAATTTTCTTTGGTCTCACTGTCCACCATTGCATAAGCAATAACATAAAAGCTCTTGTTTGCATCATCTCCCACTGCACTCAAGAGTTGTCCCCCATAGTATCCTTTTAAGAAACAACCATCCAGGCCAATCAATGGCCTACAACCAGCTTTGAACCCTTTCTTACAGGCATCAAGACATATATACAGTTTAGAAAAAATAGGTGGCCTTTCAGGTACAGGTTGTGGTATTACTTGTATCTGGCAAGCGGAGCCAGGATTGCTTCTCAAAAGCTCAGCTAGGTAGTCCCTTAACTTGGCATACTGTTCCTTCTCACATCTTTCTATTCTGCCTTTGGCTTTATGCAATGCCTTGCTCACTTTCTTGAGATGCACATGGACCTTGTACTCCTCTTTTAAATGCTCATAAGCTTCAGCCCTTGTCATGTTGGGCTGTGTGACCAGCCTTTTCTCCAACTTTTTTGCAACCCAATCCCTGCTGGCCCTTTTATTTTTGAAAATTCTGCAGCAAGAATGTGAATCATTGAATGTCTTCACTTGGAAACTATTCAATTTGTTGTTCCAGGCACAATATATCATCCACTCACAGTCTTCATTTGAGCATTTGGCCTTGCTCTTACCTTGTCATTTTTAACCTACTTAAATTGTCTCCCAAGACTTATATTGTAGTCTTTCACACCATTTTTAAAGTGGTCTAAACTTACAAACTCCATTCCAAGCTCTAGTTGGACATGACCAAAAGTATTCTCTACAATAAACTTCGAAAACACAGCCTTTTCAACCTCCACATCCCCACTTGAAGGAGGAGTCTTCAGCTCTTCAGAATTATAACCATACCCGTGCTCTTGAAAAGACATATTCTGGTCATCCTCTTCCAAGTTTTGTTCCCTGTCATGCTGGTTAACTGTCTTTTTTTTCTTCTTTCCATGATGCCTTTTTTTAAATGACATAAGTGGCTCATCCTCTGTTTCGTCCTCATAACCCGGTGGAGGAGGCTTATATGGCTCATCTTCTACACTGTCATATGAATCACTTGATAGTCCATTGCCCTCTCCCTCTTCATATTCATCAGCAGAAGTCATATGCAAGTCACTTGAACTGCCAACTGAATCAGCTAACACCTCTTCTTCATCACTACTTTGACACTCTAACCCATCATTCCCTTCTGCAGGTGCAGGTGCTACAATGTCAGGAACTGCAATGCAATCTTCGAAATAAATATCTACCTTGTTCCCATTACCTAAGGCAGCCTTAGCCATTTCCACAACGTCTGAGTCCTTTTCAAGAAGACATGACCCTACCTCTAAATCGCTCTCAATAGGCTTAAGCCACCACATCTGTCTACATTTTGATATCCATACCCCTTGAACAGAGTTTAAAGGTCACGAAGGTTGACATAATCTACATCCATCTCAGGTAAATCATCCACTCTCCCATTTACATAAGTAAGCTTCCCTTAGTCATTCCTAACCAACACACCCCCATGATGATATCTTATGACTATATATTCATCCATATGCATAGAAAACAGAACACAAACATTTTTTACACTACCATTGCATTATTTTACAGTATCATCAAACCAATCATGATTTATCAATATTACAATAATACTTTAATAGTCAGGGACAACCACTTAGACATTTTTGAAATGGTCATGCAGTTCATTGCTAAAAACTCGGGTCCACAAAACACTACACATGGCAAATATAAAACACGAAAAGGGGACCACATGCAACAAGTTCTGTACAAAATAAAACTCTAACAATATCTTTACCAGGTACTGCACATGGGGACCAGATTAAACAAAAAACAATGACTCATTCACAAGGGGGACCACAGATAATAAAGAAATGACTTGTTCCACGTACCTTATTCGAATGTGTTTCCACACTCACAACCGTTTTTCTGATGTTGACCAAATAACCACACTACTTCCAAATCCTTGCAACCGCAGAGGAGATGTTGACCCACAAACCACCATTCCTCACAACCTTCACCGGAAATATAGCTCACGAGTAGAGGAAATGGGGGGTATGGAGAAGTTAGTTGTTGTTGTCTGAGTGAGTCAACTAAGTTAAGACCAAGGTGGAAGATGTCTCCTCTATAGAAACGACGTCGTCCGCTTCTAATTACAGCTGCTACACTTCGCATATACACAGCGACGTCGTTTCTTTCATCGAACGTGGCTTGTGACATTAGTGACTCATCAAACTAACGTTCCACGTGTGCTTCGTTAGTTGGGCCGTTGGATGCCAACTAACAGAAGGACAAACGTGACACTATTTTTTCAAAATTAAGGACCAAAAAGAGCCTTTTTATTATTGGAGACCAAAAGAGACTTCGTAAGAATTTTCAGGAATGAAAAATGGTATTTACTCTATATTATATGTGTTTGTTTTTGGCAATAATATTATTAGTTATTAATTGATTAATAATTTTTTTTATAATATTTAATATACTCTAAATATTTATTATGGAAATTAATAATTCACGAGAATCTTTGATAATTAATAAGATTTGTAACTTCACATGTAATTGTTATTGAATGTAAAGGTGATGACAGCAACGCGATGTAGCGGTGGTTATCTGCTTTCACTTGTTCTTGTTTTTTTTTTTAGAGTAAAGACCCAAATTGGTCCCTGACAAAAAATGCGGTGGCCAAATTAGTCCCTAAGAAAAATAAACTCAAAAAAAAGTCCCCAACAATGTCAAACAGGTCCCACGTTAGTCCTTCTGTCAAATGAAAATTGACGGAGTGAGTGACGGTGCTGATGTGTCACGTTAAGTGACATGCGGTTGCCCACGTGGAGTGGTTGGACGACGTCGTTTGGTACAAACTCAGCCACTTGGACAACCCTTTTTTCAAAAACCCAATTTTGCCCCTCACCTAACCGTTGGACACTTTACCTGTTCCCCCTCTTCTAACATCGACACTTCATCGTTGAGAAGGAAGGAAGAAGACCGTCCATTAAACCCTGGTGCTTGCGTTTAGAATATTGCCAACTTTTTCCAGAATCGAAGGGAACCAGTGGAAGAAATAAGGGCCATATTTGGATACTTTGTGAGGCTGAGCATTCCGTTGAAAAAGGTATGAGTATTTATAAGTTGAAACTTTTTTATATTGTTGTTTGTCATCCTTTGTTTAATGTTTGTGGTCCCCATGTCGTTCCCCTTTGTTTAATGCTTGTTTTTGTCTGCACAAAGTGGAACTTTGTGGTCCATGTTTCCATTTAGGGTTTTGTTTTAAAAGAAAGTAACAACCAGGTGGTGTGGTCCCTGCCATGGTTGACCCATTTAAAAATATTTAAAAATCCCATGTTAATCGTTGGAATACATGTCTGCATCCATAAAAAAGGTTGCTTTTTTATTGCTTTGTATTGTTTAACACTTTCAAAGTCTGTGGCTTCATGGTTTAATGATAGGATTGGTTTTTTGGTTTTGACAGATGTCCGAATACATAGTTATTGTCTATCATCACGGTGGTATGTTTATCAGAGATGAAGATGGAGTGATGACCTATATATATGGAAGGGTGGACTCATTGCCGGAGATGGACATTGACTACTGCAATATTCGTGACCTTGACACCCTGTTTAAGCAATATGGGTATGAAAAATACAAGAGGATGATGTGGCTACAGCCTGAGGTACCCGATTTGGATCTGGGGCTGAGACCTCTTAGTACAGATTCAGATGTGTGTGCTATGTGTGAGGCTGCTTTAGGGAATGGCAATGAGATACATGTCTACTTTGAGGGCTGCATCTCAATTCCCCAGTTTGCTTCACCTACACATGACAGTGAAGAGGATAATATCATTAATTCAACACATAATGACGACCATGTAGAGGTTGATGATGGGGTCGGTTCACATGAAGGTTGTGCACAAGGTGATGTTGGGGTCAAAGAAAATGAAGACCATGCACAGGCTGCTGATGACCTTGGTGCACAAGGTGATGATGGGATGAATTTGGATGAAGACCATGCACGGGCTGCTGATGACCTGAATGCAGAAGGTGATGATGGGATCAATTCGGACCATGATGAAGACAGTGCAGATGATGGGTCTGAAGAAGACAATGCAGATGATGACCATGCTACCTCACACTCAGATTCATATGAGAGTGCAGAGGATGAGGTTTACAAGCCTCCCCCACCTGGTGTTGAGGATGATTCAGAAGATGATGATGATGATATGTCAGTGCCAATTGTAGAGAAAGAAAGGCCTGCAAAACAGACCCCAAGGAGGAAGGCAGTCAAGAAGGATGCCCCAATACAAGACTCTGAATCTGAAGAAGTTGATGAAGAGGAAGCCATGATGTCATTTGAGGAAGAAGGATATACCTATCTGTCCGAGGAGTTGAGGACTCCTCCTTCAAGTGATGATGATGAGAATGTTAGACCTGTTATGCCAAAGTTCAATGAGCAAGCTTCTTTTGGGCATGTCTATTTAGAACTTGGTATGGAGTTTATGAATCTGGACCAATTTAAGGGTGCAGTAAAAGATTACAATATCAGT